AGGATTGGTTTTCATTATTCCTTAAACATTTAGTAGAATTCACTGGTGAAGCCTCATGGTCCTGGACTCTTCTTCGGGGAATTTTTTTTTTTTTCCCTACTTCAATTTTCTTTGTTACAAACCTATTCAGAATTTCTATTTCTTCTTGAATCAGTTTCAGTAGTTTATATCTTTCTAGAAATTTGTCCGTTTTGCCGAGGTTAGCTAATTCGTTGGCATGTAATTGATTATATAATCACTTCCTGATAGCCTCTCCTATTTCTGTAAAGTTGGTAGTAATGTCCCCTCTCTCATTCCTGGTTTTAGTAATTTAAGTCTTTACTCTTTAATTGTCGGTGAGTCTAGCTAAGGCTGTGTCCATTTTGCTGACTGAGCTCAGATTTGAATCGGTGGCTCTTGGAGCCACCGGTGGTGACTCGGAGTCAGAACCCCGAGTGCTGAACCCCCAAACCACACGAAGCCTCAAGAAGCAGCTGGAACACACCCTGTGTTATGCAGGTGGAGACACTGAGGCTTAGGGGGTGGGGGGAGTTGTGTATTAGTGGCGACAATCCAGAAGTCCCGAGTTGCCCTTCCCCATCAGCAGGCTAATACCTAAGTGTTTCTCAAAGCGTGGTCCATGGACTCCTGCAGCAGAATCATCGTTGCCCTTGTGAAATGCAGATCCCCTGGCCCTGACTCAGATCTGCAGGACCCTTATCTGCTGGTAGAGCCCAGGAATGTACATTCTGAGCATTTTGAGGTAGTTCTGTGGAGACCAACATTTGACGAGGACCCTATTCCATGAGCCGTACATCAACAGGTGCAGGAAAAAGGCTTTTCTCCTAAGAATTGTCCCCTTCCCTGACCTCCCTTCTGGAGCATTGTGATCTGTAATGGCCTTAATACATTCTGAGCCCTGGAGGGGCAGCACTAGCTAAACATTAGCAGGCACTCATGTGTCTGATTAAACCCTTGAGCACTCCTGAGCTAACAGGTGCATTAAAAGGACTGTCCAGGATTTGAGGCTGAGCACTGGGGAAGTTTCTGGTGGGGAGCAAATAGGGTGGGTTCTTATGCTGTGGACAGGCCAAAGACTCCTTTAAGAACAAGGTGAAAGTGGGGCACCTGGGTGGCTCAGTCGGTTAGGCATCCGACTTCAGCTCACGGTTCATGGGTTCGAGCCCCGCATCGGGCCCTGTGCTGACGGCTCGGCGCCTGGAGCCTGCTTCGGATTCTGTGCCTCCCTCTCTCTCTGCCCCTCCCCTGCTCGCACTCTGTCTCTCTCCCTCAAAAATAAAATGAACATTAAAAAATTTGTTTAAGAATAAGAGGAAAGCAATCCTTCCTGATAGCAGGATAAGGAAGAGGAAAGTGGACTCTTCTCATCTTACAGGCAAGGAGTCAGAGCTGGTCAGCCAGGGCACTGAGAGGCTCCACCAGCCCAGACCCCAGGCCCACCTCCCTGCTGTCACCTCTGCACCATGCTGCTTCCTTCTGTGTGTCCGTCCATGGCCCGTGCATCGGGTCTCGGTGTGGCATCTGAGACCCCTTTGCTGAGAACCTGCCACAGCCCAGGGGAAGAGATTTCAGTCAGCTTAGGGGAAACAGAACTTCATGAGTTTCTAAGAAATTCTGGAGACCACCCCCTGTTGGTACAAGTGTCCCCAGCTAAGCAGAACACCAGTGGAGACGGTGACCCCCAGGCATGTGGTGAGATGCGTGGGAGGGTCGGATGGGTTTATATTAACCAAGATCCTCGGGCTTTGCCCCAGGACATCTCAGCGGTGGCCCAAGCAGTGAAACTGCCCTGACCATTGCCCTCTTGCTCCCTGTCCTTCCGTTGCTGACTTTAGCTTTCCAGAGAGAGGGGGCAGGGCAGGTGGTGCTGGTCCTTTGGGGTGAGTTCTTCCAGAATACTCTGATGGGGTGGAAGGATTCAGATGGAGAAACATCCCTGACCATTGAATAGATACCAAGGGCTAACCCGAGACTCCATCCCGGATTGAATCCAAGGCTTGGGGGGACCAGGTGACGGTTGTGGGAATAACACTTGGCAATTTGACTTGCAAGTTATCACCAGCAAAGTTCTGTCTCATTCCTTATTTCATCTGATCCTTGTCCCTAAGAAGGAAGCTGGATGAGAAGGGATCATTGTGCCATTTTTTAAAGTTTATTTTTATTTATTTTCAGAGAGAGAGATAGAGAGCAAGCAGGGGAGGGGCAGAGAGAGCAGGAGACAGAATCCCAAGCAGGCTCCGAGCTCTCAGCGCAGAGCGCAACTCGGGGCTCAATCTCACAAACCGCAAGATAGTGACCTGAGCTGAAATCAAGAGTTGGACGCTTAACCAACTGCGCCACCCCAGGCACCCCAGATCATTGCCCCATCGTATGGGTGAGAAAACTAGCTTCAGAGAAGTGCAGTGGCTCCATAAGAGTAGCCAGTGGCCATGCCAGTGTCTCCCAAGGACCCAATGGCTTTCCACCATGCTGGCAAGTTTACGGGGGTGCTGATGAGCACCTGCTCCCGCTCCCCAGTAGACCCTGAGGCCCTGTGACCACTTAGAGAGGAGAGGGGGCAGGCCGCTCAGAGCACATCAAGAGGCTGCAGTCACCCCATACTGTGGCCCAGGGCCACGGAGTCAGGGAACATTAGCATCCACACCTGACCCCGGGAGAGGCACGTTCCCGGCGTTACTAAGTCCCAACATGACATCGTCTTCTCCCGCCTCCTCCTGTCTCTGTGACAAGACACACACCCAAACGAGCAGTGTCTCACATCCTCTCGCGGCATCTGCCCCGACACGCGCCTCCTGCTTCTCCTGATAAACCCCCGTCCGGCACCAACTGTGTGTCAGTCCTCTGTGAGTTCCAGATCCGGAGAAATAAACCAGGGGACAAAAAGGATGCAGGGAGTAGCCGTGGTGTTCCAAAGGCATTCGCTGCAGCCCCGGAGCAGCCAAATGGAAAGTCTGCATGGAAATAGGGGACTGTCCCCAGCGTTGGCCTGGAGGATGATACAGCCCATCACTAACAGAGTCAGGGACAGGGATGGGTCCTTCCAGAATGCCCACTTATATTCTGCTTGGATATGAGGTCAGAGATGGAGTTCTCTGTATTTTTGTTTAATGTGTATTTATTTTGAGAGAGAGAGAGAGACAGCGTGAGCAGGAGAGGGGCAGAGAAGGAGGGAGAGGGAGAATCCTAGGCAGGCTCCATGCTGAGAGCCTGACCCGGGGCTCGAACTCACAAACTGTGAGATCACGACCTGAGCCAAAATCAAGAGTCTGTTGCTTAACCAACTGAGCCACCCAGGGGCCCCCAGAGTGTCCCCTAGATCTCTGAAGCAGCAGACAAACTTTGTATCTTCTTACTCATTCCCGTTC